TTGGTACACCCTGGGCACAGATCCTGACTCAGAGAATGAGTCTCAGGAACTGGGCTTGCCCTGACCTGGACAGCATGCTCAGTTCTCCATCTGCACTGCCAAAGGGCCTCTCAGCAGAATGCACAGTGCCTCCCTTGCCCAGCTCATCCTGCTCCTGCCTCCAAGGCCTTTCTCAAGTGGTACCTTAAAGCCCAAATACCAAATGCCAGAGAGAGATGCATACACATTGGTAAGGAGAGACTCAAGAGGGGAGCTTATAAAGTCACAAGTCCACAGATTGCTGCAGGATATTTTGAAAATACAGTATTAGAATTCCCAGGATAGAAGGGGTGAGACTGGGGACCACAATAGCAGACCTCAAAGAGGAAAGCAACACTGTGGGACTAGGGAGAAATTTCAAAGAGGCCATGGAAGGAGAAAAGGCCAGGAACTAAATGACCCAGGAACTTAAATCAAGCCAAAAATAAAACTGAGGAATGCCAATGTTAAAGCTAATCACAGAGATTACTCTGTTTCACCAAAGAGACACAATGAGATGGAGAATTAGGGGACCTGTTGGTGATGCTCCTGGTACAAGAAGTAGCCTCAAGAAAGAAAATTCTTCCCAACTTGCCCTCCTCCATTGCCAGGGCTGAGGTCAGGGTTGAAAATGCAGTTAAGTGCTTAGGAACCTGACTGACAAACGAGGTGTAAACAAATCACCAGGACCATATGGCATCCACCTGGCAGTCCTGAAGGAATTCAAGGGTGAAATTGTAGAGCTGCGAACCAAAATGTGTAACCTCTTATTTCAAAGTCACTTGCGCCCTAGAACTGCCAGAGTACTCATGTAGTCTCCATTCATAAGAAAAGACCCAGGGAGAATTCTCATTTTTCAAACCAGGAAGGCCGGCAAATTTTTTTTGACCGGGCTTCTTAGTTTTTTAGGCAGGCTTGCCTTTTCGGGGGAAGCAACAGAACAGTTCTGATAACAGCAAAGCATGTTTATAAGACTTTTTAGAGTAAATATGAATGCGAATTAAAGAGAAACTGTGGGTGTAACTTACATAAATTTACCAGAAATTATTAGCAAGGGATTGTAGTAAAAACACTTTTTTTAACTGAATAATGATGCAATGAGGGAAACACTTTTTCAGTATGCTCAGAGACCAGAAACAAGTAAAAAAATAATACATTGACCACATTCAAATTAAGAAGTAAACAAGTGGAGTTATTAAGGCATGAACAGTAGAACTGGTCTTATATAACAGTCTTATAAATAATCTGTTGGAGGTATTGGAGAGCTACTCCACAGGTCTACACTCTTACAGGCAAGAAAAAGAACTGCTGATTCAAAGGAGTGATAGGAAGGTCTTTTCAGGTTTTAAGAGCTGATGTGAGAGAGAAGGCTGAGTTTGTGTGATGGGATCTATCTGCCCCATGACAGCTCCTTAGTCTCCTCTCCCTTGATAAGACAAATTCTGGGCTCCATTCTCTGAACCTTATGGATGTGGGCCCCAAAACCTACATATGCTTGAAAAATAGGAACAGATGCAGATTTAATGCACAGAAAATGATTCTGAATAGACTAACAGAGAGCCTTCACCACATCTGGTTAAACTCTGACCAGTCAGGTTCACCACGGGCTGGCCCTTCTCCCCTCACCTGCAGGGCCCACTCATAGAACTTCACACATAGAGCTTCAAGCTCATAAACCAAAGGCAGATATCCACAGAAAACCCATTCTGAAGCTATGAACCAAATATTCTAAAACAAACAAGAGTATGACTGGATTGACCTACTCCCTTGAATTAATTTCTGTTAACACATCTTAGGTCGGGCATATAGCCGGGAGCCAACCAGAGAAATGCAAACCTGAGTGGGTTCAGGATCTCTTCCCTGTGATCCACATCTGCCTATCCCACTTCTCCAACTGCTTATGACATGAGTGGCTGCCACATAGTCAGAGGCTGTGTATCACTTTCTCAGCACCATCTTTGCTTATCCAAGTCCATTCATTCCTCCAAAATGAGAAGCAAAACGACTCCTCATCATTAGCATCATGGGAATTTAAAACTTAATCTCTCATTTTTGGGCTTGAAGTCAGTGTTTTGTTGGAGAAGGCAGAAAAAAAAAAAGTTCTATATTGTGTCACCTGCTAAAACTTGTTCTGATGTAATATAGTAGCTACATACACAGGTTCAAATCCTGGCGCTGCTGGTCACTAGGTGAGTAAATGCAGAGCCCAACACCCTCATTTGTCAAATGGATGGTATAACATTTGCCTGCTTCAAAGGGCAGTTCTGGGGATCATTTTAGGTCATGCTTAGAGCTTGGTACAGTAGCTGGTGCATAATAAGCACTCAACAAAATTCAGCTGGTATTAACAAAGTCTCCTTTCCTCTAGATCTAACAAAGTAATTCCTTTCTTGATTTTCTCCTCAAATCTAACAGTAGCTTTTAAGACTTTTTCAAGAGGTAACTGATTATAGCTGCCTCTGATCTACAACCCTTCAGCGCTCAGCTGTCCCTTTAGCAACTTCTTGCGCAGTATTTGCTTAGACCTGTCTGTATGTCATTTCATAAACTGTGAAGTCCCTTCCATGTGCCAGTGTCATCATTGCCTGTTCTTGGGTAAAGTTTGCATGCAAACTGGCAGCAAGCCTAGTTTTACCAGTAACAGGCCACTAACTGCTTCCAAGAGTGTCAACATATGAAACTGTTTTTGATGAATCTGTCAAGGTAAAGGGGGTGCACTGTGACACTAGACTCTGTCATCACTTTGAGAGCAGATCTATTGTTGGTGATGTCTCACTAACCAAGCTCACAATGCTGACACATAAGCCAGAAGCTCCATTTACAGGATGCCAAGAACAACAGCAAAATACAACTGTTACAGGACCCGGAGAGCTCAGGTCAGCATGGTCGGTGGAAGCTGATGGACTGGGGAAACCAAACCATCACCCAAATGTTGCTTAGAGAGCATATAAAAAGCAAGGCTAGAAGAGTCTGCAGAACAATTCATGGCCCAAGGGCAGTGGACCACAATGGGCTGGTATATATACCCCAAGATTTGAGCTAGACCTTCCAGAGAACCAAAGTTCCCTTGTCTGCAGTCAGCCTGAATGAGCACTACTAGCTTCTGCCTCTTTAATAACCTGCCCTTCAGAAGTGCCTCAGCTGACCAGCAACTTCTGAACAGGCTGCACTCAGTACAATTAATTAGGCTTTGGATTACTAAATTACAGTCACATTTCAGCCCAGCATCCCTGAGATTACTCCCAGCTCATACTAATGGAGTCTTTTCTCTTCTTTCACACATTTGCAGAACATCTCCTAGTTCACAGCTATAGAGGATGGATCACATCCATGTAGGATGGACAGACGGACGGACCTAATTTAACCCTCAGAGGAAGCTTCATTTCTATTATTTCCAGGTTCCTAGGAGACTTCACTGTTACCTCTATGAAACCTCTATGGGCCAAAACTCCTTTAGGCTGGAATCCTCATCTTTTATTTGATTTCATGGTTCTTTAGTGAGTAGAACAAGAATTCATTAGCAGTAGGCACCTCATCAGTGGCATTGATTGATCTGTTAAGTGAAACTGTAGATATTTGCTTTCATTAGCAGGAAGAGACCACTTTTCAAGCACTGGTGAGAGAGAGCAGATTTAGGAAGCAGATTGGAACAAAACAAGACCAGGAAGAGGGTACACTGAGCTGCTGTCTGTACAAGGACTTGAAGAAGGAGGTATAACATGTCCCTGGGTTGTATTTAGAAAATGGATACCCACTACTTAGAAAGAAACAGCTAGTCTTCCGTCACATTTATCCTGGCCAACATCCTCTTTTCCTTCCCTGGTGTCTTGACAGCCCGTGGAAGAACATTCAGCTTTAGTTCTCAGAAGAAAGAAACTTGGAGCCTGGGACATAAGTATGTCTTATTCTACAAATCACTTGCTTCTTATGCTGGGCAAGATGATCAAGAGGTCTTTGAAGAATCCATCTGGTTCAGGACTGGTGTGCCAGTAGGAAATTCTAATAGAGGAGACACCTTACCAGTTGAGGGATTCCTGCCTTCCTATGTGGTTGTGACATGGACATCTGCTCTCGTCTTGGTTTGAGTTGCAATGCAATTTTGACGAAAAGAGCCCATGTTTGAAGCCAGGCAACCTTGGGTGAGACCCTGGTTTTGACAATTTCTGACAAATCAATCATTTAACCTCTCTGAACCTGTTCTTTCAAAGTACAGGAGATATACTACCTTTCAGAGTTTGGGGAAGACTAGATGACATCCGAAATGTGCCTACTCAATGGTTGTCTTAGGATGGGGGCTTTTTGGCTAGCTTGGCACTTGCAAAGACATTACCGTTACAGAAGTCACCACCAAGTAACACCTGACTGGCTCAGAGCACAGCATCCAAGCACACCTAAAGAGGTGGGAACCCGACGCCCCCACACCCCCAACCAGGTGCAAGGATACCTCCCTCCCCTTCCTGGTCATCCTTCACATGGACATGCTGCCTTCCTGAGTCCAGAGTTCCAACCATGAATAGAAACCCTCCAGTGACAGACATCAGCATATAGCACACAAAGGTAGTGTGGTGAGAGCAAGACACAGCACAAAACAACCCTAATTAAGACAATTTCAATCACACAATTTTATATGTAGAAAAGACCCTATAATCATTCAGGACAACCCTCTCATTTTACAGGTGGGACAATTGAGACCTTGAAAGGACAAGGGACAGATCCAAATCAATGATAGATCAATATCTAAGTCAACAATAGGTCAGTCCTAGAACCAAGAGCTCATGACAGGGTTGAGGGCTTTATTCACTATCCCGCACTGCACTGCACAGACCACGGCAGCTGACACACAAGGCAAGACGCCAGAAGAAGAGAATGTCCAACACGCTCATTTAGCTTCTACTGCACAAACAACACTGGGATAGGCACTAAGGCTTTCAAAAACGTTCTCAGCTGTCCTCCAGGAGCTTAACATCTGTCAAGCTGGGGAGAAAACCCCTGACGTGTGCAATAGCAATAATGAAAGAAGGTTTGTGATGACAGGTCCTGGAATGTGTTCAAGGAGATCAGAGATAGGAACAGAGTGATGTCACAGAAGATTTCTTCCCCACCTGGAGTGGAACAATGCTGGAGCCTTACAAAATGGATGGACAGTGAATAGACCACTGCTAGGATGGAAAGAACCCTCAAGCAAAGGTTTCAGCAGAGGCAGAGTCTTGGAGTCTAGCCTGACTATGGTGTGTTCTCAAGCCAGTAAAGACAGAGCCTCTGGCAACTTCTCCAAGAACCTGGAAACAATTACCTGGCTGCTTCCTTACCATCTCTTTCTATCTCTTACCATGGAGCATGGAGCTTGATGTTCAGAGCAGAGACCCTTGAGGATTTCAAATTTCTCAGAAATCACCATAGCACTGAGGTCTCTCTCACACAGACAAATACACACGCCTGCACACACGCAGGCACGCACTGGGATGGCGATGGAGTCGGCTGCTCAGATTTCTGTCTTCCTACACACCCCATGACCCACTCTCATCTGGGTCCCACCAGGCTCTGACCACTCCACCACTGAAGCAGCCTTCATCTCTGCTCCCCACAAAGGCTTGTCTAGGAATCCTTGGTGCCCCCCACAGGGCTGCAGTGTGTGGGCTGCCGCTGCCTCTTCAGTCCCTCCCTTTGCTCCACACAGGCTCTGTCTTTCATAGCAGTCTCTGTCTGTGAGCTTTTGAGAGGATGTCCCCAGAAAATTGGGGACAGGTCCAGCTACCTGTGCTAACCTCCTCCTAATGCTACCTTTCTTTCACTTTGTTTCACCTTAATTTTCCCTCTGCCATTCGTTCATCACCATCTTACTTTATCCTGTTGTAGGGCATAATTTTTATAAGCTGCTGTAACTCCTTTTTCAAGCAAGGTGGTATCTAAACGTGTGTCTGCTGGTCCAGCCCATTTGCACAGCAGCTGGACAAGAGAAGCTCTCCAGTCTCTCCTCCAGCGAAACCTTGGCATCACCATCACAGATTCTCCAAATCCATCCTTCCAGGCCTAAGCTGATGTCACCTTTCCTGTAAACCATTCCCTAGCTTTTCCTGGTAAAGCTCACCTCCTTCCTCTGAACTCAACCGCATGTGGGATCTACCCCTTTATAAAACTTACCCTATTCTACCTTGTAATTCATTCTAAACATGGGTAAAATAGCAACAACAACAATAACAGTTTTCTTAAAGAAAAGCAGCTCTATGATATCATTCCCTCACTCAAAAAGACTCAGTGGCTCCCCGCAATGAAGGAATCCCTCACTTTACCAGCAGCATACCTCTAGTTTGATTTCCTATTTTCATCCTACATACCTGCTGATGCAAACTGCCTACTGTTCCTTGAGTACACCCCGTTCTTTACTACAAGTAAGAGAGGAGCAGGAGATTCTGTGTACCCCTCTCTAGCCCTGTCCCTGGGCTGCACAACAGATACAGGAACATACACATAGACTCAGTTCTGGGAGATTCCCAGTCTCTTAGGAAGTCTTTTTAACTTTGTTCCTCGGTATTTCTTTCTCCTCGGTCTCCATTAATTTATTTTCTCCCAGGGTAGTACAATAGAAAGAACACAGATTATGGAAGTAGACATACAGACTATTTTTTGGCTTGAATCCTAGCTCTGCCATTAACAGCTGTGTGATTTTAAGCAAGTCCCTAGCTTCTCTGAGTCTCTGTTTCCTTATCTTTAAAATGGGAACCACAAAGGTTATTTTATTTACTTTTTCATATTCTCTTCCATTATGGTTAATTACAAAGTACTGACTATCAGTCTCTGGTCTCAACACAGGCACTACTTGGGACTGAGGTCTTTTTCACATCACAAATCGCATTGCTTCCCCATACATCGAGTAGAAAACACCACACTGTCCCTCCCTCACGCCACTAGGCAGTGAAAGCTCCTCCCCAGCCCTTACCAACTCCTCCAAGCGCCATGATGTTTTCCTCTTATTGTAGAAATAGGTTCCAAATGCCTCTGTCAATAAGCATTATTCAACTGTTGGGGGGGAGAAGGTCTATATCAATAGGTACATAAAATCCACCAGGCTCTCTATCATCTCCAGATGCTGCAGGGCAGAGGGTGGGGTTTCTAATATTCAAATGCAAAATGAACTGTTAGCTGTGATGGAGGTAGCCAGGGAATGGGGCTTACTCTAGCCGCCTGCTGGCTGTGTCTCTGGATGTCAAGTGTGCTTGGCAGGAACAGGGGACAGTACTAGATGGACTCTAACAGCGAAACCTCACTCTGTAGCACAGGCAGCAAAAGAGCCTTCCAGGGACTCAGACTGCAGTCTGGGGCTGTCATTGGTGTCACTGAACCAACTAAGCTTTCTGATTTCCGTCCTAATTTCAGAGTGATCTGGATGCTTCAGAGTTGTGACCTGGCATGATGTCATTAAGCTGCCACCTGTGGAAAGGCAGGTTACACCAGGTGAGGCTGACCAAGGCCCACGCAAGCGCTCTTGAGTTCCACAGATGGAGATAAGTGATTTCCTTCCTGAAGGAAGACCATGCTCCTTCCCCGACTTCCAGTTGATCCCAGAGTGAGATCTGGTTGTTATCCAAACTTTGTCATCCTACCCCCTTGGTGAAGGGACTGTCAGAACAGTGGCCCACCCAGGGTTAAAGGAGGCCACTGCTTATGAAGCGGAAGCCATGCTTTTCCCCATACAATACTAGCTGGGCCCTATCATAATCAGACTCGCCGGCTCACCTCCTCAAGGCCACGGTCAAGCATCTGAGCTGGCAGAGCAGGTCCAGAGAAAAGACGTGCGAGACATGAAGAGGCCACAGTGGGTGGTAAGGAGACCACAGGAGGAGCCTTTTGACTGTGTCTTCACCTGTCATCATTAGTTGGAGATAAAGATCCAATCTGCGCTTTCCCCGTGGCAGCAGTAAAGAATCTGCCTGCCAATGCAGGAGACGCAGGTTCAATCTCTGGGTCAGAAAGAGCCCCTGGAGAAGGAAATGGCAGCCCGCCCTAGTACTCTTGCTTGGGAAATCCCCCAGACAGAGGAACCTGGCAGCCCATGGGGTCATAAAGAATCAGACACAACTCAGTGACTAACACCACCACCACAATGACCCAATTCTGAGATCTATGAGGTTGGGCAATTAGGGGTAATTTCAGTGAAGAAAAATTCAACTGAGGGCCCTCTTGCTCTTTTTATCTTTGAAAATTAAAGACATGACCTCAGATGCCTTTTTTTTTTTTAATCTCCAAAGCCTAGACGTTAAGGTACAAAATATAAACATGGCCTAAATCTATGGAGGGTGTAATGTGTATTTGCTCCGCTATTTAAGAATGTTCAATTATACTCTACAGGGAACAAGAGAAACAAACAAAATGAAGACAGATAAAATTAAGCACAAACAATAAAGAAGCAAGTAGCTCATGAGGCATGTTAGCCATAGATAAAATAAGAGCATGCACGTGCTGAGGAGAAGCTAGGAAGAAGGAAAGGATCAATCAGATACCTAACATTCACGCTGAACACCGATTGCTCTTTTGTGACACCCATTCAGGTTCCCTAAGTCCTCTGCCCACACAAGATCCAGAGCTGTTATCAGAACTGCTCTAGTCAGGCTTCCCACTAGTGTTTCTCAAAAAAAAGTATGTGTTGGCCACAGGCAGCTTCTGCCTACTGTCCCCTCTCATTCACCTCTCAGTTCTGGTTCCCATAACCACATCATCAGCGGGGAAGGGTGACCTGGCAGAGACAGATAGGACCTCTGACCCTGTACAACACAGAAGCCAGGGATGTGGTCTTTACATGCACTTGTACCCTGTCTTAAGCGTGTAAACTCATCCCATATCTTTGGCTGAGTTTTCGGTTCCGTGACCTCAGGACACTGTGTATCAACTATGTGTATAGAGGTCACCATTGCATCAAGGTTATTTCCTATTGCAAGAGGGCCTGTTGGGGGGTGTCCTTGAAGAATCAAGGTCAGGGAATGTAGAAAGAGAGGAAAGGGGCCAATTTCAGGTCTGAGGTCAGAGTAGAATTAGGTACTTGAGGAAAGATCATTTCACTGAGAGTCAGGATATAAATGTCCTCTTTCTGGTTCTGCCACTAAGAAGCTGTGGACAAATCACTTTGCCTCTCAGAAACCTGGGGTTTGGCAGTTAGGCTGTTATTGTTGTTCAGTCACTAAGTTGCGTCTCTTTGTGACCCAGTGGAATGCAGCACACCAGGCTTCCCTGTCCTTCACTATCTCCCAGAGTTTGCTTAAACTCATGTCCATTGAGTCATTGATGCTATCCAACCATCTCATCCTCTGTCGTCCCCTTCTCCTCCTGCCTTTAACCTTTCCCAGCATCAGGGTCTTTGCCAATGAGTTGACTCTTCGTATCATCACGTGTCTAAAGTATTGGAGTTTCAGCTTCAGCATCAGTTCTTCCAATGAATATTCAGGGGTGATTTCCTTCAAGATTGACTGGTTTGATCTCCTTGCTGTCCAAGGGACTCTCAAGAGTCTTCTCCAGCACCACAATTAGAAAGCATCGATTCTTTGGCACTTAGCCTTCTTTATGTTCCAGCTCTCACATCTATATATGACTACTGGAAAAACAATAGCTTTGACTAGACGGACCTTTGTTGGCAAAGTGATATCTTTACTTTTTAATATGCTGTCTAGGTTTGTCATAGCTTTTCTTCCAAGGAGTGAGCATCTTTTAATTTCATGGCTGCAGTCACCGTCCACAGTGATTTTGGAGTTAGACTAAATTATCTCTAATATCCCTTCTGGAGCTCCCATTTCAATATTTAAAGTCTGCTTCCAGCCTGCACAGCACAGCTAAAGTGCATCCTTAGAAACTGGTGTTTGCATAAAGTTCCTGGTACAAGAGATCACCTGGCTCCTCTGTGTACAGCAATGAGGAAGTAACTAAAAGTGAGGTTGGAAAAATAAAGCCTTTTCCTTAAAGTCTCATATTCTCCTAGTGGGTCAGATGAAGATGTCCAGATCCACCCTCCCTCACTCTGTACCCTGTTCCAGGTCAGCCTCCCTGGTTCTCCAGCCAGCTCTGGGCCTAAGAGGCTGACCTGAGTGAACCACATCAAGGCTCTCTCACTCTCCTTCATCCTGCTGAGTTCAGCCACTGGAAAGCCCCTAACAGAAGATGAAGAGAAGCACAGAGAGTGAGGCGTGGATATCTGCTACCTCTCCACAACTTCTCTTGAGGTTCTGGTGGGCTGCTTGTGTTTCTTAACTGAAAGTCCCAGCTCCTTTCCGGGTGGCCCTCAACATAAACTCTCTGTCCCCAAGTTCCGATATCACTTCTTCCTCATTCTGTCAGGTTTGGGAAGCTAACCTCATCCTGTCAGGCCTAGGGAAGCTAACCTCATCACTAGTCCCTGCCCACATTTACGTAAAGAGCCCCTTCGCTTCCTCAAATGACCCACCAAAGCTGGGCCATCTGTTTCCTGTTGGATTCCTGACTGGTGTTCCTAATGAACCCATTTTCTCTTTAGCTCCATCTTTGAATGACTGATTCACCCTGAAAATCTCTGCACTATGCAACACATATTCCAGACTTTCTCTGGCACAGCTGAATTCCCAGACAGAGGCTGAGGTGCCTCTTTTCTCTGTAGCCCTCTACAAGCCTACCTGCAAAATTTCCTGTTCCACTTGAAAAAACATATCACAATGACTAAAAGAACCTCAGTTATGTGCATGAAGGAGCAGCACAACAATCAACTCACTGTCCACTGAGCTCTTCCACCCAACTTGGTGACACAACATCTCTCCCTGGAGATGGCCTTGTTGCCCCTCAGGTCAGTGTTTTCCTATTTATAAGCCTTTCCCTGACAACACCCAGCCCACCCTTCCAGAGAAAACAGTGTCATCAGAGCTGCCGGATCCCCATCAAACCCAGCTCCACCTCTGCCCCCTGGACTCACCACAAACTGAAGGCGACCCAAACTGAATGCATTTGTCTGGCCTCTAGAGAATTTTTTTTTTTAATTTCAGCTATATTGAGGTATAACTGATATTCAAAATTGTAAGATATTTAAACTGTACATCATGGTGATTTGTTATACGTATACATTGTGAAAGGATTCTCCCCATCTTGTGAACATACCCACCACTTCACATATTTATCTCTTGTTTTTATGAGAACATTTAAGTTCTACTCTCTTAGCAAATTTCAATTACACAATACAGCATGGTTAACAACAGGCACCATGACATACATTGATCCTCAGACTTTATTCACTGTATAGCTGAATCTGTACCAAGATCTTTCTATTTCCTCCAGCCTATGGTAACGACTTTCTACTCTTTATGAACGTAATGTTTTTTTTTTGTTTTTAAGATTTCACATATAAGTAATACCACGAAGTATTTGTCTTTCTCCAGCTGACTGATTTCACTTAGCCCAATGTCCTCAAGGTCCATTCACGTTGTCACAAGGGGTGGCATTTCCTTTGGCCTCTGGAGAACTTATGTTCTCTCTCAGTTCCAGTCTAAGCTTAACATCTCTACTTCTTGAAATGGTTTCTTAGTAATAATAATAGTAATAATAATGATGAAACAGTGATTGAGCACTTGTGGACCAGATACCAATCCAAGCATTTTGTGTGTTACACAATTCAGTCTCTACAGCCCTATGCAGCAGGTACCTTTATCATCCCACCCCATTTTATGAAAGAAAAAATGGCATAGAGGTCAAGCCATATGCTGAAACTCAGGCCCCTGAAGTCTGGCACCAGAGCCCTTACACTTTTTACTTTTTCTTAATGTTTTCTTATGAAATGCTTTAATCATCTCAGAGAGTAAAAAGAATAGTAGAACTTATCTCGATATACTCACAACCTAAATTTACCAATTATTAACTAGTTGCTGTATTTGACGCATAGTTTTTACATAGTTATCTTGAAGTGATTGCAACATCATAACTTTTCATCTATAAACACAATATAGATTTTCTCATCCACAATACCACTAATCACATGTAAGAAAATTAACAGTAATTCCTTAATATTATCTAATAACCAAATTTAGATATATTCAAATTTCCCCAACTGTCCCCACAAAATACAGAACTCTTCATGAGTTCGCCTGTTGGCCTCACATATGGCCAGTCAGATCTCATCTGAATTATTCCAATTTTAGTTCACATGCTGCACCCACCCCCACCACCAATATGCTATCTGCTCCTTGCTGTACTTTTCCTTCTTATATGGTGTTTTTAAATGAAAAATCTCTCTCATCTAGTTCTCCTTCTACTCAGCCCTTGTATAAATCTAGTGCAAACCAGTCTTTCCTGGTGGAAAAGACCAATCTCCCCAATTTAGCTACAGCGGCACGGCAGCCACGGCTGCGTAAGAGCAGACAGCATGCACAGCACATAGCACTGTCTACGTCACTGTGACGTAAGGTGACGTCAGGTGTGACATAAGGTGGGGAGGTTCCTGAAGAGACAGTTGGGGGTCTCTCTGGGGTGAATATTCTTGCCAAGAGGAGGGAAACTGGCAAGTTTTGCTCCAGGTCTTTGCCTCTGTCACTTTTGTCCTGAAAACAATGTGTGTGCAGCTCAAGTGGTGTCAGGTGGAAAGGGGAGGCCAGGCTGGGTCACTCCAGGTACTGATGGCCACTTCTGAGAGTCTAGA